AAAATCTGTGATATATGGATACATTGTTGATGAGTTATGAGCATTTATTTCTAAGCCCCGCATTTTTGCTAGTACGTTTTGATTCATGGCGGCAATATTTATCGTGTTAACATGCTCATTTTCTACGTTAATGTGTATAACCCTCCGCCGATGCTGTATACGAAGTTTGGTGTTCAAAAATAGAAAATTGAAATTTAAGTGAATATTTCACTGTTTTGAACATTATGCTAATTAGAAAAAAATAAAAGTAGGCGGAGCTTAGGGGTCCAAGAGGATTATTTGTAGAACAGGTCCACCCGGATATGTGTGCAACATTTCAGGTCATTCGGAGTTACGGTGCCACTTTGTAAATTTATTCCGAAATGGGTTTTTCATAGGTGGCGCTAGCGAGCACCTTGGACAATTTGAACCCATTGACTCCAGAATGTTGAATTTTTCACGGGTCCTGGCGTCCGTGCAAAATTATACAACTTTGTGAGCGTTCTAAAGCCCTCAAAAACAGGAAACGCCAGCACTATAATAAGAAGAAGAAGAATTCCACCAATAACAATAGGTTCCTCGCACTTCGTGCTAGGACACCGTTGGGGTCCTAGCACTCCGTGCTCGGGTCCTAATAATACCACGGAAAACAATAGGTTCCTCGCACTTCGTGCTAGGACGCAGTTGGGTCCTAGCGCTCCGTGCTCGGGCCCTAATAATAATACCACAGAGAACAATAGGTTCCTCGCACTTCATGCTAGGACGCCGTTGGGTCCTAGCGCTCCGTGCTCGGGCCCTAACCAGGCATTAAGACAATTTATAGATATGTTAAACATTCTGCAGATGCAGAGTCGAGACCAGGAGCCCCTCTCTCCTCATATAGCCTCTAATCCATCCTGGTTAGCTGGAGGGCCAATAGGGAGGGGAACGTCATTAGCTGGTATGCTAATAAACAAAATGATTAACCCTCCAGTGTATGGTGAAGTCAAAGCACATCAAGCTATCTAGCACCCGCCAACGGAATGTTAGCTTAAAATAGTTCCAGTCTATGGAAAGTTAAGCTAGCCAGCTTACTTACGTGAAGAGTTGAGGTCTGAAGCAAGAACAGGTCTTCAAATGGTGCTTGTAGCACAAGCTTATGGGTAGGTGGATTCTCTGACGCGGCCGCCATGATCACCAGCCTATCAGGATTGGTCTATTTAGATTGATGCTTCCGAGGTTTACGCACGGAGGTGCATCCCATAGTTCGGCATCGAAACGAATGCTGTGATGAGAACTTAGATTACGTATGTAATAATAAGACGTCTAGTTTAGTTTCCACAGAACACGCACAGCGTTCTTCTGGGTGAAGTCCGGTTTTTGTTTATACTACGTCACCTGTCTTCACCTTTTCACATGGGGTGTACTTTTTAGGTTTTTTCTTTGTCTCATAGTTTCACACATAGCGTAAAAGATAAAGAGGTATCAGATCATCAGGGCCAATTACTTTTCCTGAGGTGAATTGGATTTTGTATTCCTGCATTTCTCAAAACTGTGCTTAATCTCCCTCCCTCTCTCCCCCATATCACACTCGCTGGTGCAAAAAGCCACCAGTAACCTGCTGTCTCAGTCATTTTGCTCCGTTAAGCTGCGAACCCTCCCTCCTCCTCACCCGCTTCACCTCATTCTTCCTCTTCTTCCCTCCATCCATCCCTCCTTGCTTTAATTTCTCTGTCGCAGGGAGGCTTAGACTTGTTGGTCACAGGCCAGGGAAACTCTTTTCTCCCTGCAGGCAAAACAATTGGCTCCTTTCTCTCCATCAACTCTCGCCTCGCTTATTTTCTCCTCCCTCCCTCCTCCGTATTCTCTTTTTCCGTGGGACAGGGCTTTCCTTTCTCCTTACTGTCTCAACCTTTTGCTCTCCTCCTTTCCTATTTCCTTCACTCTCCTTTTACTACTCCGTACATACTGTATAGTTTGTCTCCCAACTTCTTCCCACTTTTCTCTCTCCATCTTTTTCTAACCTTTGCCTTCCCTTCTTCTCTTCTGTACTGTCTCACCTCCCCCCATGAACCCTAATCCTCCTACTTGTCTTTTTCACTCCCCATCTCAATTTACCTTTCCTCCTTTTCCTCCCCAGTGCCCTTCATATGTCCTCCTCCCACTCCAATCATGTATCATTTCTATTCTATCTCTCTCTTTTATAGTCAATCATGGTTTTCTCATCTCCTTTCTGTTTGTCCCTTTCTATCAGAACCTCTGTGTCTCTCCCATCTCCTCCTCTCTAACCTGTGGTAGTGGAGGGCTACAGGTTAAACTGCTGATATCCATTCATTCATTATAGTGTGCTCTACTGTAGGATTGCACTCTAACCTCCCTTTCAAAAGCACGTCTCACCCTGGAGGCGCGCTGCTTTGTCTTCTTGTGTCTATTTAGGCTGGTTTTTGACAGGATGGCTTGCCTCCCCCACCTCCACCCCCCTCTTAAGAATCTCTCTCTGTCGTTCTCTTTATTTTTAATCCACTCCCTCTTGGCAAGCCGCTCCTCCATGTCTATTGAAGCTGCACTGAATGCAAGTGTCAGCGGGCCCAATGGCTTTTTTTATTAAGATGCATTATGGAGCATGCAAGGAGTTTGTGTATTCGTGAGTGTGTGTGTTTGCAGGGGTAAGTGCTGAGTTACTAGATGAGTATATGAGCACATTTGCCAATAAATGTGCGTGTGTGCTCGCTCAGGGCTCTGGGATGGGACGAGGATGTGCAATAAGGAACAATAAAACTCTCCTCAACTCATAATGGAAGACATAGAAACACACGCTGAGACGCACATACCGCTCGGGGAGACTCAGAGGAACAATGGGACCGGCCATTCCTTTAATAGCAACCAACAGGGGATTCACTTCTGCCCCCTGTCACTCCCAGGGATTGTGACAGTGTGTGTGTATGTGTGTGTGTGTGTGTGTGTGTGTGTGTGTGTGTGTGTGTGTCATTTCCACTGCAGCTGACAAGTGCAAGTGCGCTGACGTCCTACTGAAATACTGCAGTGTCTTTGCAGCCTAGAACAGAATGTTGGACACACACATGAACAACCTTAAGGCATTTTATTCTGCTTCAGACCCACACAAACACACACACACACACACACACACACACACACACACACACACACACACATTTGTTAATGGATTTCACACTAATAATCACAAATTAGCCAACTTATTTAGCAGTTTAGAACTATAAAAGTAACCCAGGACAATTCAAACCTCACAACGCCTTTTAGTGCAATTCTGATTTAGGGAGCTCTTGCAGATGATAGGTATTGTGCTGTTCGAAGCTTGTATGTCCGCTTTTGTCCATTCACATGTGTATGTGGGGGGGTGTGTGTTAACATACTGCAGGGTATGTGGGAGTTGTTCCTGTTCAGCTCGGTCCTGTTGTGTTGTGGCCTGGGAGCCGTGAGCTTATGAGAGCTCTCCTGTCTCCACGCCTCAATAGCTCCATTATTCATAAAACACTGTGCCAACAGCCTCGATGGCTCTGTCTCTGTGTGCATGTGTGTGTGTATACATGGTCATCTTGCATATTTCAGTATTCACATGTGTGCTTGAAAGCGATAGATGAATGAGTTTAATAATCTAAATCATTACATGTTACATTAAATTTCACTTGTTAGACGCTTTTATCCAAAACAATTTATATACTCAATACTGTGGGCAATCCCCACAGGAGCAATTTGGGGTGAAGTGTCTTGCCCAGGGACACAACGACATGCTGACTGCAGTGGGATTTGAACCTGTGCTCCCCTAATCCGAACACCAACGCTCTATACTGCCAAGGCACAC